ATTCTTCCTTTCTGCATGCTTGTTGCATCTCCTACACATATGTGGAATTTTTCTGTGCAGAAGTGTCAACTTTTAGCACTTTGACGCTGGTTACCACTGGGGAGAGTAACTCACCTGTGATTGGCTACTTTTCAGGAAATCTCACCTTTACTTCCTCATTGTGGCTAATAACATAGAAGCTTTTTTTAAGGCTCATCATTGTTCTCTTCAAGAGTTAAACACTGACCTAATAATGCTGCAGCCATTTCTGTTATAAACTGCTAATTTCATAAACACAATGACGAACAAAAAGGAAAAATGCTTAACAGTAGATTCTAAGTGACTTAAAATGTCTGCTCAACCATAAATAATAGTTTATTCAAGCCACCCTTCCCTGAATATAAGCCATAGACAATATAAACTATATGTTATATTTATGAATATAAACATATGATGTTAACATCAGCTTAGCTCATACAAAGTTAGAAAATTTTACATTTTTATTTTAAAGCAGGTGGCTACTGCTGTCCGAACAAAACCATGACTGTGTTAAAAATAAGTTTTGTAAAGACATTTTTTAAGTGTTAAAATCAGAGATCTTCAACAGGGGGTCCGCGACGCATGGAGGTACTGCATGGGGGTTGTGAAAGTTTTGGTTGATTCCATTTTTTTTTTTTTTTTTATATTCCCCCCTGCAATTTTTTCCAATAATTGAAATGTCTTTAAATACACATTGACATGAATTCGACACACTGTAGTAAACAGATAAATGGAGGCAGAAGGTGTCTTTCAGTCATCAAAAAAAAAACATTCAGCGACACACAAGAGCTTTTTCAAGCTGGGCACCGTTTCATTCACAACACCTGTCCCATCAACCAGGAATCAGAATCAGAAATACTCTAATAATCTCAGGGTGAAATTACTTTCATTACATTAGTCCATCTGTAATAGAGTGACTATAGGACCAGTTTGATATAACACAATGTCATACAATATAATTAGGGGGTCCCTGCTCCATCTCGCCATCAGTTTGGGGGTCCTTGGCCTGAAAAACGTTGAAGACCCCTGGTTTAAATGGTAAATGGCCTATCACGAGACTTAACTAAACGCTTTGCACTACATTCAGTCATTCACCCATTCACACACTGATGGTGACAAGCCACATTGTCTCCACAGCTGCCCTGGGGCTCACTAACAGAAGTAAGGCTGCCTTACACTGGCGCCACACTAAAAAGTATCTTCACAATAGCTTTTTGATTTGACCAATTAAGACTAACATATTGTTTAAATACTGACAGCTCATTTTAACACATATGCATATATAAGCCTGTAGCCTATTTTCCCTGAATGTACTTTGGTCGGAAGTTAGTCGTGCTGTTTCTGCGGATGTGACATTGAGTGTCCATGTTGAATGGGTCCAACCTAGCAAGCAACCGGTGCGTTGGTTAAAAAAAAAAAAAAAAGTAGAAAGCAAGTGCAGTTCAGTGCTTTGGCCACAGGAGGAAGTGTCATTAGAAAACTTTGCAATGCATCTTTAATGTTAACTTCACTAAACCAATTTTTACCTCTTTAAAATACCAGCTACTGTATTAGCCTGAAGGTTCTTTGCTAGGGTTGCCAACTGTCGCTTGAAAAATGTATTTAGAAATAGAAGTAGCTGTCCCGTATTTAGTGTAAACGGTACGCACTTTGTCCCATATTACTGTGAGAGTAAAAAAGTAGTCAGTTAATGGAAAATGAAGAACAAGGGAACATTAGATACTAAACTTACAGTAAACTTGTTCCCGGGCCCTGTCCTGCGTTGTGACCAATGAGCTGACAACATATATGTAACGGTCCAGAATACCCTCATCCCATTGGTCGAGCCAAGTGTTGCTCACGGAGAAGATAGCGGGAGACAACAGAGCGGTGTGGGGGATGAACAGAGTAATTTAAATGCTGACGCATCAGGGAAAGGAATCCTGGCAGTCCAAAGGAACAGCAGAGGTGGATGGAGGTTCTTCAGGCAGCTGACCTTCCCAACATCCAAGCTGCTGTGTCCTTTGTCCTCA